TTTGATAGCCACTGTAGTTTTCACTTGTGACTTCAATTTCACAATTCACATTTGAAGAAATCTGCTAGGTCTCCTCATAGTCTTCTCTGATTCCAGATTCCATTATTTATATTCCACAGACAATATTTTTTATAATGTAGTGACCAAGAGTGTACACCTTATTTTAAACTAGGCCTTTGTAGTTCCTTTATACCCTATACCATGGGACTTCACTCAAAGTCCTCATACTCCTATAGTCTCTCCCCTTGGACTTTTTACAGTCCACTTTTTAGAGTAGTCTCTAGGATATCCCCGTAAATGAGTATAGTATGTAAGTCCTGGTCTGGAACCAGAGAAATCCATAGTCTATATGGAATGTGTGAACTACTCCCAAAAGACTGCATAGATTGAAATAAAACAAAACTAGATTTTATTGATAACCAAGGACCTCAAAGCTAGGTAATAAACACATGTGGTACTGTGATAACAATAACCCTTAATCTATGTTAAAGCCTTGTTCTTAATGAGACCATAGACAAAATAAAATTGTCTGCCCTACAGTAATGCAATGCAAGGTGTTATTGTTATTTCTCACATTCTTGTGTAACAGTCCATTAATGAAACACGTGTAGGCATATGCTGTATATATACTTAATGTCCACACTTAATGTACTCATAAAATGAACGTTTTCAGTAAATGTGAAATTGATTAAATTTAACTCAAACTGATGCCTAACTGAATTTCACTACCGTAGTCTCAACTCACTTAATGGTTGGGGCCAAGGCATTTCGCTTCCCATTTTTCTGAGCAGGAGATTGTTTAGATGGTTTTGGAGTTGGTCTCAAATTTCCTGTGAAAACAAAGTTTGCTTGCTTACAATAAGGGATGTATTGACATCTTGCATTTTCCCCATTTTTTACAATTTTTAATACACCTGTTCAACATTGAAGAGGAAAGCAATGAGTAGGGTTAGTGGGATCAACTCAAATGGTAGTTGTTTAACACTAGAACAATGTATTATTGTGTATTATGAAGGTAAAAGGTTATTTATGAAGGTAACAGCAACTCAATCAAATAGACAGAAGAGGTGATTTTCAGTAAAATCAAGTGTAAATTTCAACACTGTAAAATCTAAAAATACATAACAATAAGAGGAAGAGACACATTTAATGTATATTTCAAGTAAATGTGCACAGTATTTTTTCTGGCATGGATTGAAAGCTGTCATTTTTTATTGTAAACTACAAAGTTATCAATGTCTAGATGATTCAAATACTGTATTATTTTATATCACACAATGCTATATAGCTGGCATCAATACATATTTAAATTATAAACTGATTAAGCATAATCTGGAGCAAACGTTCAGAGTTTTATCGATAGTATACAGATGCCTCTATAACAGATGCTTTTAAGCAAAATGTACTTTTCTGTTTGACAATGTTTCCAAACTTTATATTGTATAAAATAGTACTTACCAGACATTTTCTTCGCTATTTTGTCTCAAGAACTGAACTGAAGTGATTTTTTTTTAATTTTTAGATTTTAATAGTTTCATATTTTACGTCAAGAATCGTTTCGTCTTCAACCGGAAGTCACACCAAACCGTTTCCAGTAGCAACTGCCACGCCTGTCTTGAGCCCAAGCCAGTGAAGCGTGATCCTTTTAGCAGATCATGTTTATTATAGTATTTTTTTTATTTACAGGTCTACCAAAAAGCTATTTGGGTACATTGTACGATGGAGTGTGAGCTCTTTTCGGGTAATACTGAACACGGTATCATGAAATGTAGACATACACTTTTTTTATTAATAGACTACGGGTAAATGAATATAAAACATCAACCTGTAATACGTGTTTGGGTCTTATTTTTAATTTAGTGTTTATTTTTTAAAGGTCTTGAGGATTGTTTTCAGTATAATAATTGAAAATAAAATATGTTGTGCGCCTCCGCGGTCCAGAATTGGAAGAAGCGCTTAGAAAAAAAATCGATACACTAGTAATACTGTAGTGTAATGTTCTTGTGTGAAAAAGTAAGTTTTACAGTCTGTGCTTTCATTCTCCTCGTCCTCCTTCTTCTCTCATATCACCAGTATGTTCTATTCTTTCCAAAAGAGTTTTGAATGATTAGTTTTCAGTTTTTTTTTTACTTTAAGGCAGATCACTAAACGATTTTGATGAATATAGATTTAGTGTAATAAGAACGGTTTAAAATAAATATATTCTTAACAGTGCAGCACGGTAGGGGAGAGGTTAAAGTTGCTGCCTCGCAGCGCCTGAACCCTTGGTTTAGTTCTCGATCCTGCAGTGCTATCTGTGTGGAGTTTGTATATCTCTTGTGTTCGCGTGGGTTGTTCCGGTTTCCTCCCACAATCCAAAAAAGCACTAGTCGGTTGTAATCGCATCGGGAGTCTGGGAAAACTGGCCCTATCTTAGGGTTAGGGATACTGCGTTTCTCGTGTTTCTGCCCTGAGATTGACTGACGTCCCCTCCAGGCTCCAGGGTGAATCCCGCCTTCCGTATTTTGCTTGCCCAGTTCAGGCTCCGACTCCCCCGCGGTATCGAATGAGAAGAAGCGGTTAGAAAATAGATGAATGGAAATCTCTACCTTTCTTACCACTAGGTGTCAACATTTTCCCATCGTAATATCGAAAACAATGTATTGGACCTGAGATTCAAAATGAGCTTGTTTCACAGACCAGGATCTGCACTTGTGCTGAATTCGGTTACATAAATTAACAATTGTGATCCTTGATTATGGCTATCAGGTTTTGTTAAACTAAAACAGTATGGATAACATACATATATATGATATTTATATTATTTTTCAGTTACTATTTCCATGTATTTTAACACAGTGCTTAAGTTTATTGAAGTTGAGTAGTATTTTCATTCATGAGAGGGTAGCAATCTTTGAATCTGTGGCCTGAACAAAAGAAACAGTTATACATGTCAACCTATGAACAGCAAAGGTCACAGACAAATCTGGTACGTCTAAATTCACATCAACATGCGGTACTAAAAATAGCTCCATGATGCACCCATTAAAAAACAAAAGTATGATAAGATAAAAAAAAATGCAACATCATGTAGTTGTACACAGAAACACCAAGGACCTTGTGTCTTATCCGCTGTACCAATGTGAGTTTCATGACCTCTCATGCTCTAAAGCAGGGGTGGGGAACCTTTTTTCTGCCAAGGGCCATTTGGATATTTATAACATCATTCGCGGGCCATACAAAATTATCAATTTAAAAATTAGCCTGCTATATTTGGTCAAACATTTAATTAACTCACCCCTAATGTGATGGCTGGAACTGCTTTTCTTTGGTGAGGCGTGTGATGTTAGCTGGTATTGATGATGTTGCTACTCGCAACTGCTTTTCCAGGTTTGCGTCGGTCAGTCTGGAGCGCAGTCGATCAAACAGCCACTTGCTATCACATTGAGTTCCCCGACAGGTTTTCCCTTCACCTCCATGAACTGCTTGACTTCATCCCGCAGTTCGTAAAATACAGTGTGTTAACACTTTCGTGTACACTCCCAGCCTGCCTGGCACTGAGTGTCCTCTGAGTCACCGCAATACAGGCAGACGGGCCGCGGTCAGCCAGCGACAAGCATGCGTGTCTATCCCGTCATGTACTCGTATGTGTCCTGTGTATCCCGTAATGGACGTTCCTTGTTTGTCCCTCAAAATTTACATTATTATGATTCACTTAATGTAAATTTATGTTGCTATGAAAAAAGCTCCTAGAGTTTCAAGTCCCGCCTGCGTAGGGCTAGGCGATATGGCCAACAACATTATCACGATAAAAAAAATCATATCAGTCGATATCGATAATCATCACGATAAATGTCAATCATTATTTCTTTCAAGTTTAAAGGCAGATTTTTTTCTCCTGAATGAAAGTTGAAGAAATCAGACAGTTAATTGGTGAATTAAACAACTCTTTATTTTAAGAACATAAAACTTGCCAAACAGCAGAAACATTAAACAAATCTGTTAGTACCCGGTCTACAACACGCACGCGCACTCGAGCAGTATTTAGTGCGCATGCGCGTATCATGCGTAAAGCATGAACATTTATCGAACTTTTGTTAAAATTATATCGAGGAAAATTATATCGCGATAATTATCGTTGTCGAATTATCGCCAGGCTCTCTGCGGTTGCCTTGGCAGGGCCAGACCAAATGATTTCCCCACCCCTGCTCCAAAGAGTAGATAGGATTTCTTGAATGTTACTGTAAATTATCAACATTTGATTCTTCAATTTCAACCCATTTTAAAGTAGACAGAATTAGTTTCTGCACTGCAGTATTTCTGGGATTTACCAGATCTTCGATGTTTTCAGTATCTAATGACAGCTGTTTTATGCTATTGATTAAAATCTTAAGACAATATGCAACGTGTGTCAATTGCTTTGAAAATATAAATGGCATTTATATTCATTGTGGTATGATCATTGTTGATGTGATTTAAGGTACCTTTTACAAAACAGCATTCATAGTTTTAGTACCAGTTTCTCCAGGTAAACACTTTTATATTAGACATTCTCAAATATCCTTTAAAAAAGATAAAGTGCTATATTGCCCATTTGGCTTGAAGCTCAGGCATAATTTAAGTATTCAATGTACCAGAACAGAAAGATAATCATTACCTGGTTCAGCTGTTGAAAAATGTTCATAGTATTTGATATCTCATTATATAGTATTTGTAATTAAATATGAAAGTATCTGTGGAAACCTGCTTTTGACTTCTTTATGATTTCTTCATATTATTGGTCATGAAAGCAGAAGGCCACAATAACAGAAAGTGCAGTGAAAGTTTTTTTTTATTCATCATTGTAGAAAAAAGGCAGATTAGTTTATTATAATGTCCTGGAGCATGTCTTTAATACTACACATCTTAGAACGTAATCCTAACAGTAATACCAGCGAAAAACATTAGTTTCATGCTGTCAGTGTTTGCCGCCTTCTTTGTAGTCAGTAAAATCTTTCCTTTGTGAAAGGTTTACTGTTTGTAATGGGTGGGATATCAATGGATAACTTCTAGGAATTACTTTTCCCCATTATTTTATCAATTTGATATTAATGCCACAGCAGGGTTATCCTTTTTTAATTTTCAAAGGAAGTGAGGAGAATGGTTCATAAAATGAACTTATTTTTCCTGCTTATCATTTTACCCAAAATAAATAAAATAAAATTTAGCTTAATCCAACACAGGGTTACTCATTGTATGGTCATAAGGCGGAATAAACCCTGAAAAGCACACTAAGGCACTGGGGCATTATGGGGCAATTTAAAGATTTCAATTTCCCTAGACAGCATGTCTTTTGACTGTGGGAGAAAAGTGATAAAATGCGCATGGCCACAGGGAGATCAAACATCATACAACACACAGAGGGTGGCCCAGACTTTATTTGAACTCAGAATCAATGACCTGCTGATATTTTGGTTGTTTAAATCACAGTAGGCTTTTCCTTAAATTTTGGTTTCAAAGTGAGTTCAAGGTAGGCAGCCATTCTTACACAGTGCCATAAGATCTTGGGATATTAATTATCAAATTGTCAGGATTCATCTGAAGAATGGCACTGTCTGCCATTGTAGGATTGCCACTTAGTGGTTCACAGACACAACATTATGCAGAAAACCTTCTTAAAGGTTTCCCTTTAACCAAGGTAATACTTGGTTAGTTTCATAGATACGATGAGATCAAGCTACGATGCAGTAAAGCTTTTTGACTTGTTTTAAATATTCTAATATATGGAATTGTGAACAAATATTTAAGAAAAAAGACAAACTATTCTGCCCACCTAAGTTTAAATATCAGTAGTAGGCACTACATTCCCATCATACATCGACAACAGTACTACAACTGCACTGTAGTATTCTCTGAAGTGCTCTGGGGACTGAGATGTTAATTCTCAGATAAAACCATGTACTTTAAGCGTCGCACTCATAGCTATAATAATATCAGATTTCTTCTGCAAGAAAAATTAAATAAATTATAGTTTGATGGATTTAAAATGTACAATTCCCTAATTATTTTTATTGTAATCAGCTCACACGTAACTCTTATTCAATACAGAAAGGACATGAGCCATCTTGACTAGAGAACAATAATATTCACTAAGTGCTGAGTGTCTTTCTCTCTTGATTTGGTAAAACAAGGCATCTTTTGTGGTCTCCCTCCGGCCTGATGCTTGGGTAGGTTCAGGTGACAGCTCTGAGTTGCTAAACCGCCTCTTAATGAACGTGAACTCTCTCTGGCTGCTGTAAAGAGCAGGGGAGGCCTTTTTCCGCCTGCGTTTCCTCAACACTTTAGCCCCCATTGAGCCGGGAACACTGGCCACAGACAAAAGCCGTATATACTGTACAAACAGAGCTCCAAGCCGCAGTACACTGACTCATTCTTCGGTGTGTGTGAGAACTGAGGGGGACTCTATTCAGCCTCTTTGTGCGGTTGTCTGTCAACAGTGTTGTTTGAGGCACAGCCCATTGTACCGGCCAATGTTTCTTATTGACACAGGACTCTGCTCTCAGTGTTCCCAGGGTCGAACCTGCTAGTAAGCGAATGTTTGAAAGAAGATCCTTGGGTAACATGCAGTTTGCCGCATTGTACACTGACATATTAAATCTAAACTGTGGTTTGCATTAAACCAAACAGGTAATTGTCCGGTCACAGCTGCAGCTATTGACATCTCACCACCTCCCTTCTGAGACAAATAGCTGTGGTTTATCCCTTTTATACTACACTTCTCAAGTGGTGTGTGCTAAATAACTGAATTACTGAGTAGTATGAAAAGTTCAGTAGGGTGGATACATACACATACAGTTCAAGTAGGTAACTGCATCAGCATGCGTAGGCTGCAAAGGACCAAGTAAAGGTTTATTCCATGCTGAAAAGAGAAGAAAAGAAACACAACATTTCGGTTGTGGAGTCTTCTTCAGGTGTGAAGAAGAAGAAACACCTGAAAAAGGCTCCGTAGCCAAAATGTCGTGTTTCTTTTCTTCAGATACTGTATATACACCTATATGTGTGTGCGTGTATGCACAAAGTTTAAATTTATTTTTATGACACTGCAAATGCCTAATGACTCAAAGTAATTGATGACTTATTCTGACAGCAGTGGAACGTGGTAGGTGCATATTTTGCTATGTGTATCTCAAATATTAGAGTATAAAACGTAAGAGGATAATTCTTCCAAAACCTAGTGACAATGCAACCATTCATATTTTTTGAAGGTGTTCATCTGGCTCTTGCAGGCATCCATTGGATCACTGTCCCTGACATCAATTTTGATTCACTATTGTTACTACTGTAGATGGAATTTGTCCCTGGACCATAATGCTACCATAATGATGCTTTCTGAGAATGAAAAAAAGATTTCCTTGCTCTCCTCTCCTTTACAGGTCTAATCAATAATGCCACCAGCAGTTTTCAACTAGTTGACAGAAAAGTTGAGACAGTCTTGCCCCTGTGCCGGTATGTGATTGTGGTATAGACAATACTCAGTTAGTTAGGGTTCTTCTCTAAGGGACACAGATGAATTTTTACTGTAGGATTTAGAAGAGTGAAGGTTGCTAATCTTAATTTTTGAGGAAGTTTATTTGGGGACTTGTAGTTTCTTGTTGTATGCAGTATGCACAGAGCATACAGAGTACACATTCAAAGCAATAAAAAGAATAAGGTAATCCCCACAAACCACCAGACTTAATATTTTGATGTTTCCTTTCTTTTTACAGCATTTTGTTCACTGCTGTCATCCACTTAAGCAGTTGAACTGCTTTCCTTATTTTGAAGGGATTACTGTTATTGCCCAGCTGGTTTGTGGTGTTTCTGGCTTAAAGAATTCCAGCATGTTTTATACTTCAAAGTGTTTCCAATAAAGCTTGCAGCTAGCAGAGGAGCTCTTATTCTTAACACATAAATTATGCACTTAACATGTCTCTAAATGCATGATCGAAGTTCAGTACTTTAGAAGTAAAGAAGCTTTACTTATTTCTACCTTCAGTCACATTTGCACTTGCAGCCAATGCTTTCTAAGCCTATCATCCTGTAATGGGGTCTGTACAGCAGCTCTTTGTATTACCTCTTTTAACCTGACAAACTGAATTTATCAAGGTAAAAAAATAAGTCTATAATAAGAATGCTACATTTTCACATGGGGAGGCCACTTCAGCCTTACATCAAGCAAAACAGTCACTTTCAGTGCCAAAACAGGTTCTGCATTATAGAGTGCTTCAAAATGAATATGCAGCACTCGTGTTTTCAGCTTATTCGATTGGATTATGCTATCATTACTCTGGTTGCTTTGCAAATGGTCCATGTAACTGTGGAGAGTATAAGATGATTAGGTGTTGTTGTGCAGAGATCGGTGGTGAGAGAGCCAGCCTCTACCATCTGGTAAGCAGCTGAAGGAAAAGTGCTGATACAGACCTGTATTTTGAGCCTGAGATGATGGAGCGGAGCAGCTCCCAGCCCAAAGACCCTACCTTCTTCTCATGTAGCTTTACTTGGAGATGCCTTTAGTTATGGGTGACAGGAAATTCACCTTGTTTGTAGTTTCTTCCATGCCTCAAAGTACTCTGCCCCTTTTCCCTCATTCTGTTGGTATGTCCCTTGCTATTCTTTCTAGTGCCATCAACAGCACCATGGAAACAAACTAAACAGTATGGCACATCACCTGTCATTCAAGCCACTGCA